CCCCCCCGTGTCGCGTCCCCGCTGTCCTGTCCCTGCTGTCCCCGGTGGTCCCAAGGCCGGGAGTCTCATCTCCAGTGTCCCATCCCCGGTGTCCCATCCCCGGTGTCCTGGTCCCATCCCCGGGTGGTCCCATACCTGTGCTCCCCGTCCCAGCAGTGATGTCCTGCCCCCCGGGGGTGGCACAGCCGGTGTCTGCCCGTACCCCCCATCCCCGGTGTCCCCCCATCCCCGGTGTCCCCCCATCCCCGGTGTCCCCCGTTCCTCCGCAGGGTCCCGCCGGCACCATGAGCACCGAGACGCTGGTGAAGGACGTGAAACCGGGGCTGAAGAACCTCAACCTCATCTTCATCGTGCTGGAGACGGGTGGGTGTGAGGGCGGGGGGTCCCCCCTGGCCCCACCTGCCCCCCTGACCCCGCGTGTCCCCCCAGGCCGGGTGACGAAGACCAAGGACGGGCACGAGGTGCGAACGTGCAAAGTGGCCGACAAGACCGGCAGCATCAACATCTCGGTGTGGGACGATGTGGGGAACCTCATCCAGCCTGGGGACATCATCCGCCTCACCAAGGGGTACTGGGGGGGCTGGGGGGGCGCCCGGGACCCCCGACCCTGCGGGGACCCCGCCCTGACCCCCCCCTTCCTCCTCCTCCTCCTCCTCCTCAGCTACGCGTCCGTCTTCAAGGGCTGCCTGACCCTCTACACGGGGCGCGGGGGGGACCTGCAGAAGATCGGCGAGTAAGGACGGGGTGGGGGGTCCCACCGGAGCCGGGGGGGCTTTGGGGGGCAGGGGGACCCCACGGCCCCTCTCTGCCTGCAGGTTCTGCATGGTGTACTCCGAGGTGCCCAACTTCAGCGAGCCCAACCCCGAGTACGTGGCGCAGCAGTCGCAGAGCAAAGGGGTGAGCTGGGGGGTCCCGGGCTGGGGAGGGGGCTGGGCTGGCACTGCCAGGACCCCCTTGGCCCCCCGAGGGCAGCCCCCTGGCTCTGCAGCACACGGGGGTCTCCATCTCCTCCTCCCCAGGCCCAGAACGAGAGCGCGAGTGCTTCTGCTTCACAGACCACCCAGGGCCCCCCCGCAGCCCCCCCAGGTAGGTCATGCAGCCCCCTCCCCACCCTGGGGCTGCAGGATCCCCCCCCGTGGGACCCCCAGGCTCGGGGGAGGGTGGGAGCGGCTCCACCTTTCCCTCCCGGTTCTCTCGCAGCCCCCGACAGCCAGAACGGGAACGGGCTGAGCCCGGGGGGCCCCGCGCCCCCCCCCAGCGCCCCCGCGCACCCCCCGAGCGGCCGCATCACCCGCAGCCAGCCCGGGCACCCCGGCCCCGCCTCCGGCCCCGTCAGCAACGGCAAAGAGACGCGGAGGAGCAGCAAGAGATAACGGGGACCCTCCCCGGACCCTCCTCCCTCCAGCCCCGGCACGGTCGGGAACGGCGGGGGGGGCCCGGCCCCCCAGCCCCGCGCAGCCCCCGGGGCGAGGAGGGGGTGCCCGGGCCCCGCTGCCCCCACTCGCGTGCCTCCGGGGGGGCGGGGGTGGCCCGGAGCCCCCCGTGCTCGGGGGTCCCGGGCGGGACGGGGCTGAGCGGTGCCGGGGGCTCTGCGGCCCCCCCGCCCCGTGCCCCCCACCCACAGCGCCCGGGACCCTCGGGGTGCGAGTTAATAAAGGTCGAGCTCTGCCCACGCCTCTCCTGCTCCTGCCCGGCACGGGGGGGACCCGGACCCCCCCCGCCCTCAAGGCCCTCCCCGCGGCCCCTCCCGGCACCGGGGCCGGCCGGGAGCAGCTCGGGGTGACCCTTGGCCCCCCCGGGTCGGGCGCAGCAGACGCGGGACGGGGACGGGGACGGGCAGGGCCGCGTCCCCCCGGCCCCACCACCGGTCAGGTGGGCTCGGGTGGGCAGGGGAGGGTCCCGGGGGGACACGGGCGATGCCAGCGCTGCGCCTGGGGGGGGGGTCCCACGAGTGGGGTGGTGATGGGGACAATGAGACCCACGTGGGTGGGCGGGGGGGGGGCTCCGGGGAGGGGGTGGGGGCACCCGCGGGGCCGGGGGGGGTCGGTGGGGCGCTGGCTCCCGGGATTTTCCATCAGGGCCTGGCCCCACGTGGGAGAGGACGGCGGCCATCCCACCATCCCGTCTCCACGTGCGGCTGTCCCGGGTCCCTGCTGGGGAGGGGGAGCCGGTGGGGGGATGTGGGGCTGTGGGTGGTGGGGTGGGGGTGTGAGGAGGGAGCCGGGGGGTGCCGAGGGCTTTATCTCCCGCCTGGTGAAACATTAACTCCCTCACAAAACCTGCCCCCGTTGCAAAACCTCCCCTCGAGGACGAGGGTCACCATGTCCCCCCACAGCACTGTCCCCACCACCCCCCTCTCCCACCTGGGGAACCCTCGGGGGGCACAGGGGCAGCACCCCTCGTCCCAGCCCCGCTGCCCGGGGTGTCCCTGAGCCCTGGTGTGGGCCACGTGTCCCGGGAGGTGACCCTGGTGCCGCCTGTCGCCTTCCCTGCGGACGGACGGACGGACGGACGGGTGGCAGGAAAGCGCAGCCGGGGGCCACCTGGGGGGAACCCACGTCCCGGGAGGCGCCCACGGGTGGGGGGTCTGCGCCCACCACAGCTCCCCCCACCCTCACCCCGGTGTCCCCCTCCTCCCCCAGCTCCACCGCCCCCGGGATCTGACCCCATGGGCCCCCCCGGGCTCCTCCTGGGGCTCCTCCTGGCTCTGGGGGTCGGGGGGACGCCGGAGCCCCCGGGGCCGCCGCCCGAGGAGCAGGAGCACGGGTATTACCTGCAGCAGCTCTTCGGGCAGTACGGGGCCAACGGGACCCTGCCCTTCGAGGGGCTGGCGCGGCTGCTGGGCAGCCTCGGGCTGGGCCGCGTCCAGGTGGTCCAGATCCAGCACGAGGAGCTGGGCCACGGCCACGTCAGTCACCTGGACCTGCTCGAGGTGCAGGAGGAGAAGCACCGGCACCGGCACCCGGTCTGGGAGCACGGCGGGGACGCGGCTCCCGGCGCCCCAGCGACCGACCGGCCCCACAGGTACCCGGTTCCCCCCGGCCCCCGGGGGGCTGCCCCCCACCCCAGCGTGATGGGGGGCTCATCGCCCCGGTCTCCCGCAGCCCCCCGCCCTCCCAGACACAAAGCTGGGCGAAGCCGGTGCCCACCGAGCCCCCCGGTGCTGGGGGCCCCCCCCGGCAGTACCAGCCCACCCTCAGCCTGCTGGGGAGGGTCCTGGGCTTGGAGCACTCCAGCGCCGACCACCCGCACGACGACGTGAGTGGGGCGGGGGGGTCGCGCCGTCCCGCTCCGCTGCCACATCCCGGGAGCCTGGGGGTCCCCCGGCTGCTCCTCGTCCCCCCGGGACCCCCCAGCAGCGCTCACCGCAGCCCCCCGGCCCTGCAGTGCCTCAACGTGACCCAACTGCTGGTGAACTTCGGGCTGGACTCGGCGTCGCAGCTGACGCCGGAGCAGTTCACCCTCCTGTGCCCGGCCCTGCTCTACCAGATCGACAGCCGCGTCTGCATCCAGCACAGCGATGAGGTGACGCTGCCTCCCCCGGGGGGGGGCCTGTGGCCAGGTAACCCCAACCCGGGGTAACCCCTCCCAGGCCCCCGGCCCCAGGTTGTCTGTCCCCGGCTCCCCCACAGCCTGTCACCCCATCTCTGTAGCCCCATCTCTGGTTCCTCGAGCATCTGGTCCCCCTGTCCCCTGTCCCTGCACCCTGAGCCCCTGGTCTCCCATCAGATGGACCCTGTGGACCCTTTCCGTGCATTCCCATCCCTGGCTCCTCCAGCATCAGCTTCCCAGGTCCCCTGTCACTTCAGTCCCATCCCTGGATCCCTCCGACCCCATCCCTACAATGACCGTCCCTCCAACCCCAAGTGCTCCCCCCTCACAATCCCCAGCCCCAGACTCCCATCACCCCACACTCCTGGTCCTGGGGTCCCCATTCCTGAGGTCCCCATCCCCACCTCCCCGGGGTCCCCATCCCGCATCCCCAAAGACCCCCACCCCTGCGTCCCCAAGGACCCCCCATCCCCACAGCCCCTCCCCGTGCCCCCCTGCTCCGGCCGTGCCCCCTGACCCTCCCCCCAGCGCTGGGCTGGGCTCTCCTGGCCGTGGCCTCCGTCAGCCTCCCGTCCGCCCTGGCCGTCCTCCTGGTCCCGCTGCTGAGCCGCAGCTTCTTCCGCTCCCTCCTGGCCTTCCTGGTGGCCCTGGCCGTGGGGACACTCTGTGGGGACGCCCTGCTCCACCTCTGGCCCCACGTAGGTACCCCCACCCCCGTGGAGGGGAGGTGGCACCCTGGGGGACACCGGGGTGTCGGGGTCACTGACCCGCTGGGTCCCCCATGTCCAGGCCCAGGGGGGGCACCAGGACACGTCGTTGGGGCCGGGGCCGGCGGTGCTGCAGGGGCTGGCGGTGCTGGGGGGCATCTACCTGCTCTTCCTGCTGGAGCTGCTCCTGGGGATGCTGCGGCGCAGGCGGGAGGCCACGGTGAGAGCCACGGGCACGGGGCAGGCGACGGGGTTGCCACCAGGTCCGGCTTTGTACCCAACACCTCGATTCCTTCACAGGGGCACCCCCACGGAGAGACCCGCGCTGTGGCCGCGGGGGTCCTGGCACCGTCACGAGGAGGTACAACCCCCCCCCCCGTGCCCCACAGCGCCCACAGCCCCCGGCCCCGGCACCCACCGCGTGTCCGTCCCGCCGCAGGGGCCGAGCTGAGACACCTCAGGGCACCAGACACGGACCCGGAGCTGGAGCTGAGGCCCCACGGACCCCCCCGTGAATCCCCCCACGGGCCCCCCCACGGACACTCCCACGGCCCCGCGCTGCCCCTCAGCCCCGGGGCCACCGACATCGTGTGGATGGTGGTGCTGGGGGACGGGATCCACAACCTGACGGACGGGCTGGCCATCGGTGAGGGGCAGAGCTGGACACGGGCACGGCCCGGGCTGTGGACGCGGAGGGGTGCCCAGGGACAGGGGGTGCAGAGTGCACAGGGACAGGAGGACAGGCGGGCACAGGGACAGGGGGGGCACAGGGCACGGGGGCCCTGCAGGTCCGGGGTGAAGGACCCTCTTCCCGCAGGTGCCGCCTTCTCCCACAGCCTCTCCAGCGGGCTCAGCACGGCGCTGGCCGTGCTCTGCCACGAACTGCCCCACGAGCTGGGTAAATGCTGCTCCCCCTGCCCCCGGCAGCCCCTCAGCTCCCCCCACACCCACCCACCCACCCACCCACCCGCTGTGCCCGCAGGTGACCTGGCGGTGCTGCTGCGGGCGGGCACCGCCCCCCGCTCCGTCCTGCTCCTCAACCTGCTCTCGGCCCTGCTCTCCTGCCTGGGCGTCGTCGCGGGGGTGGCCGTGGGGCACAGCGGGACCCCCCTCACCCCCTGGGTCCTCACCGCCACCGCCGGCATCTTCCTCTACGTGGCCCTGGCCGACATGGTAAGGGCTGTCCGGGGCTGTCCGGGGCTGTCCGGGCTGTCCGGGGGTGTCTGGGGGTGTCCGGGGCTGTCCGGGCTGTCCGGGGGTGTCTGGGGGTGTCCGGGGCTGTCCGGGCTGTCCGGGGCTGTCCGGGCTGTCCGGGGGTGTCCGGGGCTGTCCAGGGGTGTCTGGGGGTGTCTGGGCTGTCTGGGCTGTCCGGGGGTGTCTGGGGGTGTCCGGGGTGTCCGGGGCTGTCCGGGCTGTCCGGGGGTGTCCGGGCTGTCCGGGGTGCCCGGGGGTGCCCGGGGGTGTCTGGGGGTGTCCAGGGGTGTCCGGGGTGTCCGGGGTGTCCGGGGCTGTCCGGGCTGTCTGGGCTGTCCGGGGCTGTCCAGGGGTGTCCGGGGCTGTCCGGGGGTGCCCGGGGGTGCCCGGGGGTGTCCGGGGGGCGGGAGCCTCCTGCTGAGCCCCCGCTCTGCCCCAGCTCCCCGAGGCTCTGCGAGGAGCCGCCGAGGGCCCCGGCGAGGGCACCTGGAGCCGCTTCCTCCTGCAGAACGCGGGGTTCCTGCTGGGCAGTGGCATCATGTTGGGCATCGCCCTGGCCGAGGGGCACGTCCGCGCCTGGCTGCAGCTCTGAGGGGCTCGGCCGGGGCCAGCACCGGATGGCAGGACCCCCAACGTGCCCCCAGGACCGGATTTTTTCACCTCCTGAAGACCCTCAGCGGCATCCGCTGCCTCGGGAGCCTCAGGCTCAGCCCTGCGGGGTGGGACTCGGGGGTCCCCTCAGCCCCCCTGGGTGGGGGCACTGGGGTGCTCACACACCCGGCTCCGGGGCTGAATCCAAGCTTGTTCCCCTTCCCGTCCTCCCAGACCAGGCAGAGGAAGGACAACAGCCCGTAGAAGCAATAGCATTTTAATAAACATAATTGATTCAAAGCCACAATACGAAGAACAGGACTTGGTTGCAGCTCACACGGTAGAAAATAGATCAAGTCTGAATGCTTTTGTCTTTTTTCCCCCCCCTTTTTCAGTATCTTTTTAGTTCCTTTCCCTCCCCTCCCTTCCCCTTCCTCCTCCCCGAAGGTGATGCAGGATTTCTGAAAATACAGAACATCTGAGAAAAAAGTAACTGCTCCGGAGGC